TACGAATGACGTCGTTAATTCAGTTCTTGCCTCAGTGCTAATGATAATTATGTACATATGCAATGTAATTTTGTTACCGAGTATAATAACGATTATCAATTATTTGTAAATAAAGAAAGAAATACATATAAATGTAAATATATAATTTAATTCCCGCTAATAAGTATTCATATACTGTCCGTATAAGGACATCATGTAAAGACAGATAATATTAGAGAAAACAATTAATATTCATAAAATCAACCATAAAATATACCGATTTATAATTTTTAAACTTACCATTGTGTCATATAATTTAAAAATAAAAAATTCTTGATTTCCAACTCAATATTTGAGTTATACAGGATTTTCGAAAATTTGTTTAATATATCTTCTATATAGGTAGACTAGGTGAAATTAAAAAAAAATGCATGTACCATTTTGCAAAATTCACATTAGTTAACGAAGAATCACTTATTCCACATGAATTACTGAACGCGGCAATTATTGCACAGGGAGCGGTTTGCCTGAAATGTACAAAAAAAGATGACTCGTTTCTGTCACAGTATTTCTTAGCTATAATGAGTAATAATAATAACAATAATAGCTCATGCGCTCATGCAATATTATGCGCAAGCGCTAGTATATGTCTCACAATTTGGAATCTTTGGGTGGAACAATATAACAAGTGGCATGTGACACAGGATCGCACAGCGGATTAACCCCTTAACGCACAGTTTTTTTTTTTTAACCGGCCAAAAATCAATTTTTTTTATGTAAAAAAATTTTTTTCTTTGCTTTCACATTGTTATTTTCAATTCTCGATTATATTTGAGTGTGAAAAATTATAGCAGCATAAAATACAACGCCGCTCGAATTATCTCGAGTGTGCACAATTTGGCCTATTTAGCGCGCTCGAATTAACTCGAGCATACAAGTTAAGGGGTTAAACCATCTTTTTTGTACATGAGTCTAGCCTATTGTTTCCCATGTTTATTGACTCATACAGAATAATTAATTCCTTATTAACTAATTGCGAGTTTTTCACACGACTCTCATGTTCAATTTAATGCGTACTAACCGCACATCACGATTGTACCGAAAATTTTAGGACACTCTGTATTATTTTAAAGAAGTCCCAAAATACTGCGCAGAAAAGTTGCAAGAACATTGCATAAATATTATACCGAAATATTATCATCAATATCTTTAAGCAAATGCTGATTGCTACGGGGCGTCCTTAAGTGGCGGATGAATATAATTCGTTGGTACTTCCCTGGAATGCCTAAATGATAGAGAGAAAACAGAATACCTCTCACAGATAAATATATGCAATCTCAAATATTGGTAATACAAATAAGTTTCCGCCGTTTTTTTTATAATAATTATCAATTTATTGTAAAAAAAATATATGTTACATTTTGTTCAAAATATTGTCCGTCACTAGCTACTACTTTTTGCCATCTTTCTGGCAGCATTCGGATGCCACGTCGAAAAAACTCTTCATCTTTTGAGGCTACCCATGAATCGACCCAATTTTTGGCTTCTTCGTAAGAAGTGAAGTGCTGCTCGACCAGGGCGTGAACCATCGACCGGAACAAGTGGTAGTCCGAAGAAGCAATGTCTGGCGAATACGGCGGGTGGAGTAAGACATTCCATTGTAAAGCTTCCAAAGTATCCTTGACGACTTTTGCAACATGTGGCTGAGCGTTGTCGTGCTGAAAAA